TTACATTTCCATTTCTGGTATACTAAAGGATATACAAGACCAATAAAAAGTTGTGGGACTAGGTGTCCTGCACTATATATAAGAAATCTACTCCGCAATAGGGAAAGCACCAAATATAAATTATTGGGGCTGGTCACAATGGTTGATCGTTTATATCCCCATTTTTTTTTGAGATACAAGTCACGCCCGTTATAAACAAAAAATGTCATATAAAAGTCACGTGAGAATTATTATCATAATATTTTTTTTATTAATTATTAACTTATTTAGCCTCTCTAAAACTCTGACTCATTAATTCTTGTAAACTATCTAATAAGCGATCCTCCATTATAAACTTTGGTACTTGTTCTTGTTGTATATAAGTAAGAAGGTTTATGCAATTTTTCAATGCATCGTTAGTATTAATATGAATAATATTTTCCTCCTCCTCCTCCTCCTCCTTCTCTTCTTTATTTAAAACAACAGCAATAATTTCTTCTAATCCAGGCATTGCTTCAATTTCATAAGTGCTATCACAATTAATGTAGTCTTCAGTTGTTATTGTTTCTTCATAATATTCATTCATTATGTTTTGCAACTAATTCAACATTATCCTCACTATTTTCATAATAATATAATTATCTAAATCATCTTTTGGTAAAATGCCAACTTTCTCCCAAGAGTGTGAACAATAGTTTCGCATTTAACATTCTCCCAAAATACATTCTTTATTTCTTGTTAATTTATAAAGATCATACATTTCGACACGATTTTGACAAAGAAGCTTTTTATAATGACACTTAAACAACCAAGTTATTCCAACATCAAGAGGTTGGAGGTGAGCTGTGGTATTGATAGGAAAAAAATGAAGTTTAACGTTTGACATATTTAAATCCCCTACATGTGATGATGCATTGTCAAGTAACATAATAATTTTTTTTTTCACTTTTTTCATTTGTTCATTGAATTTACTGAAATAATATACTGGAAGTTCGGCCTTATCCATTCCTCTAATAGCATGAGGATTTTCATACTTATGTATTAGTAATGGTTTAAGTTTTTCACCTTTAGAATTACATGCTAGCATAATAGAAACTCTCGCTTTGGATTGTTTTGTACCAGATATTTCACCATGAGCTAAAGTCTTTGATGGTTCAAGTTACCAGAATAGTGCAGTTTCGTCACAATTATAAATGTTATTAGGATCATAATCTTTCAGAATTACTTGAAGCTCTTCACAATATTGTGGTAATAGTTCAATTGGAGCAGGTGCTGATTCACCTTGTCTAGTTACTGAATAAATATGATGTCGATTTTTAAAACAAGAGAGCCATCCATCACTACCTTTAAAATCATTTATTTTCATAAGTTCAACTAGGTCTTGAGCTTTTGTTTTAAGAATATCTGCTGAAATTGTAAGGTTATGTTTTTTTATAGCTTCATCAAACCAAATTGCTAAAGTTTCTTCTAATTGTGGCCAATTTGCTTGCTGATTCTTTTTAAATTGAGAAGTTGAAACAGTTTCATCAACAGGAAGCCATTTGTTTGATTCTGGTAAAATTACTGAAACTGTGCTTCGACCAATTTCAAAATCTTTGGCTAATTTATCTTGAGTTAAGCTAGGATCATTTTTAGCATGCTTACATGGTTCTTTTTTTTTGCAAAGCACTTAAAGAACATCTTTTTTTGGATAAAGGTGCAGCAGAGGTTGAAGTCATTTTTAAAACAAAATTTAATTTTAATTTTTAATAATTCATTGTCTAATTAACCAATTAGTCATACTAATCAACGTTTTATTGTTATATCAAATGTTTTTGATCGGTTCTCTTGTTATAAATTCTATAATTAAAAAAATTATTTTTGACAAATTATGTCATTATACTAGTATAACGGGATAAATAGTGAGTGTCATTATAACAGGCGTAAATTTGTATTTATAAATTTGGTTTTTAAAAAAATGTCATTATTATTATTATTATAACAAGATTGTCATTATAACGAATGTCATTATAATTGGAGTGACTTGTATAACTAAAGTGGGATATAACTAAAATCCATCATGTGATAATTTATTGAAAAATTATTTATCAACCAGGGAATTTTTTACATAGTAATAGATACATATAAGATCGTCAGGCCACCACTTGTCGTTACTCTAGTTAATTATTAAAAGAGTGGTTCACATCTAATTATTAATGCGACTGTTATTCCTAGGAAGGAAGGCAATAAAAGAATCAAAATAGACAATGATTTCAAATAAAGGTATGATGTTTTTTATCTATATTTGATAAAGAAAAGCGTAAAAAATGGGAAAAGACACATGAAAAACTTTTATTTATCTAAAAGAAGAGAATGATCTTGAATTGACGACCCCAGCAAAAATTAATCTGATAATGAAGTTATTGAGAAGTTCTCCCGCAGTAGAACAATATTTTGATGAATTTAGAAATTTTTTTGCTGATGATAAGAGACCCGAAGATTTAAATCGAGTAATAGAGAACCTTGGGCAAGAAATAATTAACTTAAAAGATCATATTAAATCTCTAAAAAAAAAAATTGTGTGAAGAAATGGACATAACTGAATCAGGGTTGGCAAATTGACTGGTCTATTGAGAACAGATGGATTTTGGACTGGTCCATTGCCATTAATAATGGTTAAAGTGTTACACTAATGGACCATCAATGGATCGCACATTTGCCAACCCTGAACTGAATCACTTAGCGAAGAAAATGATGAGCTAAAGGATCAAATATTACGATGCAAAATTTGTTTGGAAGACAATTTGACGCATTGCTTTTCTCCCTGCCATCATTTAGTAGCTTGTGAAAAATGTGCTCAAAAAGTTGATTATTGTGTGATCTGTCAGGCAAGAATAGAATCATGTTTCAGAATTTATTTTTAGTAAAAAAAAAAAAAAAATCCTCTAAATTAATTAAACTTATTTTTAACTGCAAACAAATTTCCTTTTGGCCTGAGGTCCTTCTTTGGTGTATATACAAATGTTCACTTTGTCTAGTTTTGAATTTTGCAACTGGTGCAGAACCATCTTTACTTTTGTCTAGAGGCAATCCCAAGAAAAGAACAAATTTTATAATCACCTGAAATTCTTGGTAATTTCAATGTTCACTTTGTTTGGTTTTGTTGCAGTATGTCCCATATATAATTTTTTTATTGAAAATTTATTTTTATTTATTCTTAAAAGTAATGCTTTCTTTAATAATGCATGTTTAAAAGGTAATGTGGTTGACGATTCTATTTTAGCATTAATATTTTATTAATAATTTTGATATAATATTATGAAAAATATAATAATATTATTATTTATATTCAACTATAATACGGGGCATGCTGCAACAAAACCAGACAAAGTGAACATTCGTAATACCAAGAATTTCAGGGATCAAAATTTAGTCATTTCATAATGTGATTATAATTAATAGTTTTATAATATTCCATTTTGTTATCTTAAGTGATATATAGAATTACCTCTATATAAAAATAGTTAATATGAAGCTAATTTACATCAGATCTACTATGGAACCAAAGAATTATAGCACCATTAAAAGTATTTTGAAGAAGGAACAAGGTGAAAAAATTGCTCCTTATATTTTTAAATTAGAAGATACTAAATCCTTGCAAATATATTTGGATAAAGAAAGGATTACCTATGAAATTTACCAAGAGGAAAGAAAAATAATAAATGTTAAGAAAAGAAAGCAAAATGAAAGTGTATTATTACCTAACAAAAAGCAGAAACCCTTAGAAGGAAAATAACCTCATTGTTATAATATTGATTTATTTTTTTCTTTTAATTCTTTTAACAACATAGATCATAGCAATTAAAAAGTTATATGGGCTATTCATAATCAAATAGGATTGTTTTTATATTCATCAGCAACTTTGGCAAAATCTTCATCTTTAAGTCAGAGACAGTAATTTTAACATGATAGATACTAGATCCAGTAGTGCTATAGTTACATTTGTAATCAGAAAGAATGTAAATCTTATTTTTATCAGTAATAATGTAGCTGCCTTTTCATTATGTTGGATATCATAATAAGATATCAAAAGCCAGGATATTTTCTTTAACTTTATCTAAAAGACAGTTGGAATGAATTTCATTTATATTAGAGGAAAATACTTCCTCAATATTCTTTAAATTACTTTCTTATTTTCAATCAAGGTCATTTCTTAGTTTCTTTAATTTCAATTTGTGCAGTTAATTGACCATTCTGTTGTAATTGTTCTAACTGGTTCTTTAATTTCTCATTCTCTGTCTCATAAGCATTTAACTTATTGACTAACTCTTGAGGGGTTAAAGTTTTCAATTGTTCAATTTTCTGAGTCAATTTAATAATTTCTGCTTCTTGTTGTTTAATCTTATCTAACAACTCTTGTTTTTGTCATTTGCCTCACTCCTCAGATTTTTCCTGAAACTTAGCTACTTCTTCTCTTTCAACTTCTAGTGCCTCTTTGGTCTAGTTAGTTGTTCTTGTAAAGAATTTATTTGTCGTACGTAAAAAAATGCCATTCCCCTGTTTTGATGAAGTAATAGAGGGAGTTCTTTTTTATTCTCTTCTTCTTTACAATCACAAGTGTATCTAGTCTTTAATCTTCCACAACTACATTTAGGCAATTCATCATTTTCAAACTTTTCTTTACAACTTTCACAAGCCTTATCACTTTCAATCATTTTGCCAATTGCCTTGCTTCGTGTTCTTATTTGACAAACTGCCTTTTTCAAACCAGAGCAAAAAACACAAGTAGAATTACTGCTATGTCATTCTTCTAACTCCAAAATAGTGTAAAGAAATTCTCTCATAATAGTAAAATAAACTAATTAACTTTTACTTCTATTCAAGTGGTAAATTCTCAACTTGATGTTTTTTATTTTCCATCAAGTGTTGAAATTTTTGGAAATTGGTCTTAATTCTTGAACCTAATTTTTGGAAAGTATTTCATTTTTTAGGTAAAGCAGGCAAGGGTTTTCTTTCTAAATAAAGTTGTCTATTTAGTTCTTCCTCTCTTTCCTCACCTCTTGCTAACATTTTTGATTTCTCTTCTGACTCCTCTTGTGGTTTTGTATTTTTTGTTACCTCCTCTTCAAGCATTTTATCAGATTTTTGTAGCATTAGTGATTTTTGTTTGATTTCATCATTCAAAAGATCTTTTTGTCAGTTTTTTCATTCTTCAACTGTATTAATTGCCTCAGCTAGGTCTTTAGAAGTTTGATATAGTTTTTCAATAGCTGTGAAAATAATTTTATTTAAATTTTCCCCTATTTCTACTTTTTAATTCTTTTAACTCTCCTAAGTCTCAGTTATGAATTTGCTCATCTCAAGAAATATCATCGATTTCTTCTTGTTCCTTATGTCAAACTGACAAGGTTTCTGTAAGTTTTGTTTCTAATTCTTCAATTTGCTCTTTATACTTGTTCAATTCTTTTATTTTCTCCTCATATTCTCACTTTTGTTGACTTAATTCGTTGTTCTCTATTCTTAAACCCTTAGCTTCTTTGTCAAGTTCTATTCAAGAATAAAGTGTAGATTTATGTAAGTAAATAAGACGAATATAGGATACCTTAAACTTTTTGTCTTTTAAGTGTTCTAATGCAAAAGATTGGTATTCAAAATAATCTTGAATTTCCCTTACACATTTCTCCTCTAGATTCCTATCTAAATTACCAACTGCTTTTCTTATTTCTTCTTTGGTTAAGATTATTTCTTTTCTGGGGATTCCTTGTTCTCTTCCTTGATCATTATCTGCTAATTGTTTTTCTAAATCAGCAATCTGACTTAGCAATTCTTTATTGACTTGTTGCGATTCTATAATATTTACCATGATTTTCTTTTTTTTATTTGTTTTATTTATTTGCTCTTTTAATATACTAATATACTTATATCCTTTTTATGAGTGCATATTAAGTATATAAATTATTTTAGTATCTTTTACTTTAAAACTAACAATATTTGTCAAAAGATTAAATTTATTAAAACTTGATAACAGCAAGGAAGTGATGAAGGTGTTTTTGTTCTAAATATTTTATTCACTTCTGGTATAGAATGGTCTTGGACAAGTAATATTTTTGTATTCATCTTTCACAAATGGGTGAATATTATGATAAAGATATTCTTGTCTTTTGTAATCCAAAGGAGGAGGTGTTAATACTAAAATAGATAAAGTTTTAATCTCTTCAAAAATATCTGATTTCTTGGTTTTCAATAAATTGAATTCAGTAAAAGGTCCATTAGCAACTTCTTGAACTTTGACCACACCAAGGTTAGATGCTTCAAAAAGAAAATGTTGATATTTTTGTATACTTGGTAATTTCTTGAAATAAATTCCCAAAATTGCTTTAATATCTAAATATTGAAAACCTTTTCCACCTTCATAACATTGAGCTCTACTCAATCCTGCTGGACTAGACTTTTTTACCACCTCAACCACATGATCCAAACAATCTACTCTTGTTCTTCTGTAGAGTTTTTTAATCAACCCAAAATTGCCATCACATTTAAATTTAGTGTGTCCAGCAATCATGAAGTTCAATTCAACACTTTCATAATAACCACAAATTACCAAATATAAATAAAACCAAATAGTGGTGTTATTTTATTTTGTCCACCTGCATTATCACAAGTAATCTTTAAATGTTTTTCACCTTTATTCAATTTCTTAATTCCATCAAAAATCATACTAAGAGTGCCATTAGGACCTTTTCCTATAATTTCATCTTCATTAAGAACATAATTAATTTGTTCCCTTACTGCTTCATCTTGAATACCAAATAAATGAACTTTACATGGACTAAGGTAATAAATTTTACTTACTTGCTGATCAGAATGTGGTACATGAACATTTGGGCTCAATCATAACTATCCCTTAAACGGTTTTTCGGCTATTGATAGCCGAAATTTTTTTTCTGTTATAAAAAATTTTTTTTGAGGGTATCACTTCCTAATACGAAAATGATCTTTGAGATTCAGCCGATTGGCATGTAAAAAAATTTTCGGGTGTTGTCCTTGTGGTTTTCGTATAACTTTCTTTAAAAGTCATGCAATTGGGAAAAAATCGTAAATTTTTTTGTACCATCAATGAGAGATTATTGGAAAACTTCTGATAAATATCCACAACATAAAATTACTGAATACATGTCTTTAATCAAATTCGAGCAAATTAAAAGATATTTTCATGTCTCAGATCCAACTGAAAACATTCAAGAAAATACTCCATGGTATCACAAAATCGAACCACTTGCATCATCTATTTTAAATAGTTGCATGAAATATTACCTTCCTTCCTCAAATTTATCAGTTGATGAAATGATTATTAGATTTTCTGGTAGAAGTCCTCATACTATTAGAATGAAAAATAAACCTACTCCTGAAGGATATAAAGTATTTGCTTTGTGTGATGCAGGGTATACATATAATTTTATGTTCACATCAAGAATTAAAAAGAATTCATTTATTCAAAATATACCAGGAGTGAGTCTAACAGGATGTGAAGTTTATCATTTATTAAAAGAATTGCCAATTGGTAAATCTTTTAACATTTATATGG